CCGCCTCCCCCCAGGCCCCCCCAAGGCCAGCCGCTGCTGAAACTGACCAGTGGCTGACTACAGGAAGCCCCTGCCCCAGGCTTCCTGGAATCAGCCGCTGATCAGTTTCAGCAGCAGCTGACTTGGGGATGCCTGGGGTTCTTAAGCTGAATCTGTATGTAAGTCAGAACTGGCGTCCAGATTCAGCCACTGTTGAAACTCATCAGTTTCAGCAGCGGCTGAATCTGGATGCCAGTTCCGACTTACATACAGATTCAACTTAAGAACAAACCTACAGTCCCTATCTTGTACGTAACCCGGGGACTGCCTGTATAGACAAATAATGCTTTTCATCCAACGGCCATGAAACAAAGTGTTACAGAAGAGGAAACTGAGGCACAGAATCTCTTCCATACATAATACAGTCAGTGGTAGACACGAAGGATGTCAACAAGTAGTTGACTAGATGATTAACTGATAAACCGTCTACACTGGGCCAAATTTCGGAAAAGCCTCCTCTTTTGGAAAAGCCCTTCTTCCTTGTGGGAGGAGGAAGACAGAGCTTCCGAAAGAGTACGTCTGCCTTTCTGCAAAAAAAAGCGGAAGAGCAGACGTGTTCCCTGGATGCGTTCCTCGTAGTGTAGACATAGCACAAGTCTCAGTCCTCTGCTCCAGCCACTATGCTATGCAAAGTGATTCCAAAGCACTTGTTTTCTTGCACCAAATATATTTTATCTCAGCGGTGTGCAACCTGTGGGTCATGACCCCCTTTGGGGTTGCAGCAATCTTCCTGGGGAGCTGCTGCACTTTGATCTGGGCCAGCTGATATTTTCTTTTCCTGGCTTGGTCCCCAATGTACATGTAGAGGCGCAGACTGGCGCTTTAAATTTAAGGGGCTGCAACAAAATGTTCCTGAAAGGATTTTTTTTTTTTGCTCAATGAAAATTTTTCCCAGCTCCGGGGGGTCATGAATGAAAAAAAGTTGAGCATCACTGCTTTATCTGACTGATTAAAACCTAGGCTATACAAATAATGCTAAGTAATATCTTTATAAAGATCTTGTAAACATGGCTGTGATTTCATTCATGGGAGATGGGGCAACATGGAACACATATAGGACTGATAAATACTGAGATATTGGGGTAGGACAACTACTCTTTCACTTCAACTGCATTCTGTGTGTCTGATGAGGTATGCCAGGAGAAAACAGAAAAACACTCTACCTTTGTTATCATATTGGCCTCTCCTGCTAGCACTTCCATTTGAAAATTTCGGTAAGTACTGTCAATAATATTGATTTTATTTACTGCACAGGTGATGCCTGGATTCTTGTCAATTATAACCTGACCTGCAAGAAAGGAATGAAAATATTCAACCACTAAGTGTTGCTAAATCATTAAATCCTGTAGGCAATGTTCCCTCTTATTTCCATCCACATGCAGAATAAATTTTGTTATGTGCATTAAGGTATGGGCATATGTGCACCATTTGAAAGACATGCTGCCAGCAACACGAGGCTGCGTGCACTCAGCTGACCAGGTGGGAAGTACCAGAAATGTTCCGAGACGGCCATCCCAGTGGCAGCTGCCTGCAGGATATACATTTAAAAGAGCAAAGTACCTATTGAATAACTTGCATGTGAAATTTTTCAGCATACTATAAGATATTTCCATTAGTGCCACTATCACAAGGAATTTCTAGTGCAAATATTTTATGCTTAAAAAAATGGTTAGATTCCCAGTGAGGCTCTTGCTCTTCAGCCAAAGAGTACTGTCTACTGCAGAGGTTCCCAATCTGTAATATATGAGCTTGATGCTCCCTCCAGCCACTTCACCATTTAAAGTGATGGCATGTGAACCAATAAAGTTTAGCAACTGCTGCTCTAGTAGGAAGGTCACTGGCAATGAACTCAGGTGATCTAGTTCTGCTATGGACCTGCCATGTGACCCTGGGCAAGTCATTTCACCTGTAGTGTACTGGGATATTTCAGCAGTGCCATAACACACACCATAAATCGTCATCATTCAGGAGGCCAATTCAACTCCCATATCAATGTGATTCTACTGGGACCCAGGTCAGCTAGTAACATCAGTTCACACGGTGGACTAGAGCAGTGGGCGATAGTGCTGTATCAATAAAATGTTAAAAGTTTTCATTTTGTTCTCTCCTGTCATAAAGGGGTTGCCTTCAGTGGTCCAACCTGAAATTTGCTAGATGCAAACGGACTGACCCACTGCTCAGTGAGGTCAATAAACTATTAATAACTTCAGGTTAGCTATGCATAAGCAGCCTGAGCATTCACTTTTAATAAAAGGATGGTTAATATAAGAAACAACTTTAATAATATGGGCTCCCAATAGCTTTCCCAGTGCAAAATAATCTCTAGCTCAGGCACTTGTAAAAATGAGTTATCCAATTATACACTTCTCCCAAAGGTATTTGTTGAGTATCAATGTTGTACGTACCAATCAAGTGTTTGTAGGTTAGCTGATGATCTCTAAGATTCAAGTGAGCTATATGGCCAATCCTGCTAAATCCAGAAGTGACATCTTGACCTTCAGGAAGCACTGCTCGTAAGATTTCCTCAGTCTTGAAATTGTCATAAGTCAGTTCCAAGTTATACTTGGACACCTGAGGGTCAACATTAAATTGCTTTAATACTTCTTGATCAGATTCTCCCAATGAATATTCTGCTGCTATTTTATGGGGATCCAACAAAACAAGTCTACTGTCTTCATCTTTTGGATCATCAATCACTCGCTTCAGACCAGGGCGCTGCAATGTTGTATGTCTGAGGGATTTCATTAATTTGTTTATTACTTCTTTTTTCACTTTTAGAACTGGAACAACAATTATTCTGCTGAAAGCTGCTCTGTCGAGTGTTGTCATTCCACGTACTTCAGGATTAGGTGAAAAAAGTTCAGGATCAGCTTTACTTTCTAGAATTTCAGGCATTGTAAAGAAACTGTTTCTCTTAACTACCCCAAAAAATCCAGGTATTCTTTCAAAATACTGTACCAGAAGTAACCAAATTTCTGGAAATGATGTATTTGATGCAGCTGCTCTGAAGAGTTTTGATTTCAGTAATTTAGCAGAGTGTCCATATAATCCAAATAAAAACCTAGAAGGGAAATTATTTCTTTTACAGACGTTATGTAATCATGCCATTAAAAAAACCTACTACATCACATGGATTTGCAATTCTCACAAAATATAGTTTGTATCAAGTAATTCATAACAATTTTATACAGTTCATAAACAGAGCATTAAACCGCAAATTTCTAACCATGTACGTGGCCAAAAAATACATCTCAACCAACTTTATGCAATGGTGGACAATCACCCTATAGACAAAAGTAACCTGTATTTGTTACACTGCTCTACAGCCAAAATGCTTCTGAAATAAATGTAGTCAAACTTTACTAATTCTGGGTCACTGAGAACGAAAATGATGCTTAAAATTGTTGATTGGCTCTAGTTTTCAAGATATGCTATTGGGTCAGTATATACGACCCTTGACTTGCGAATGGCGGAGGATAAGTGAGTTATAAAGCTGCAGACTGGATACACAAAGTACTGCTGTTTTCTCTGCAAATGGGATAGTCGTGCAAGAGATTCCCACCACATCAAGATAGATTGGCCAGTCCGACAGTCATTGGAGCCTGGGAGGAAAAAAGTGCTCAGCATCCACCATTTGTTGAATCAAGGAAGATTTTGTTACCGCCCTTACACATCAAGCTGGGTCTGATGAAGAATTTTGTCAAGGCCATGGACAAAACACAAGCAGCTTTCAAGTACCTCCATGGAGAATTTCCAAGGTTAAGTGAAGCTAAGATAAAGGAAGGTGTCTTTGTTGGTCCTCAGATTCGTGAACTTCTTCGAGATGATGCATTTGACCATGCACTGTGTGGCAAGGAAAAGATGGCATGGAAAGCCTTCCAGTTAGTGGCAATAAATTTTCTCGGAAACAACAAGGCAGACAACTACTGGTTGTTGGTGGAAAACCTCCTCAAGGCATACAAAAGCCTTGGTTGCAACATGTCACTAAAGATACATTTTTTGCACTCTCATCTAGATTTTTTTCCACTGAACTGCGGAGCAGTGAGCGACGAGCACGGCGACAGATTTCACCAGGACATTGCAACAATGGAGAAACGCTATCAGGGCAAATGGAGCCCATCAATGCTTGCAGACTATTGCTAGACAGTGACAAGAGATGCTCCATTTAATGAATACAAGAGACAAGCCAAGAAGCGCCGAGTAGACACTGAATAGGACTAAACTATGTACATAATAGTTTTTTGCCTTTTGTTTCATAATAAATTTTATTTATATAACCCTTTTGCTGATTTTTAAAGTGTTACATAAACAGGACAGGTGAAATATTATCATGTAAAGCAACCATAAACACATGAAAAGACCTAGGTTTACAATTTATGATTAAAACTCTACTATCTACACAATATACATAGACGTAAAATGTAAAAACTTAAATATCTTGGAAACAGTAGCCAATCAGTTGTTTTAATTGTCATATTTGAATTCAGCACATCAAAATACATAATAAATAGCACATTTTATCTCTGAAGCAGACGACTTCTAAAAAATTGTAGACCAGTGAAATCTAAGTATACTATATCCACTGGATCCCCCTTGTTTGTGGACCCCCTCAAAGAACTACAGGGGTGCATCTACACAGCACCCTAACCTCGAAATAAGATACACAATTTGCACTAAGCAAATTGCATATCTTATCTCGAATCTGGTTTGAAATAGCTTATTTTGAAATTTGGCACGTCTACACAGTGCCAATTTCGAAATAGCGTGCTATTTTGAGCCATCCCTTACCCTTGTGCAACAAGGTTCACTGGGATGGCAAATAGCATGCCCGTTATTTAGAAAAATATTTTGAAATAACGGGCAGCTTGTGTAGATAAGGGATAGCTATTTTGGAATACCTCTGGTATTCCAAAATAATCGTGCAGACTAGACATACCTTAGTACAGTGGTCTCCAACCTTTTTACAGCTAAGATCACTTTTTAAGTCTCAGAACAGGTGAAGATCTACCTCCCCGCCCCTTCCTTGAAGCCCCGCCCCTTCCTTGAAGCCAAGCCCTCTCTATTCTCCTGTCCATCACTTGCTATCCCCAGCCCTTATATACTGTTAAACATTTATTTTTAAATTATACAATATATAAAATTAAAATCACATGTTTATAGTTATGAAATAAATGGTCTTTTTAATTCATGCTATTTAAATGTCAAATGAAGCATTTACAATTATACATTTTGTTCTCTGCTATTTTGTAAATCTAAAATCAAGTATTGATAATTATATATTTTTTCTTCCAATAACAAAGTCTCAGTGTGACACCTGTGACTGAACAGTATCTGCCAGTGTCTTGAAGTCTGGGTTGTAGTCTGAGATTGCTAGTCGTATACAGTCCATCAGATGGGAATCTGTGATCCTGCGCTTAGCCTGGGAAGCTTGCTCCAGCACAGCTGGAGCTAGACGCAGCCTCCCTGGGCTGAGCACCAACGGGGGGGGGGGCGAGGGGAAGGGGCTGCCTGGCCAGCTGCTCAGCCAGGGTGCATCAAGCTCCACGTGGGCAGACGCAGAGGAGAAGCCGCCGATCAGCTGGAGCGCGGGACAGCCGCTTTCAGCTGAAAGCCTCAGTCAGCTTGCTGGTGTTTTTCAGCCCTCCCGACCTCCCACCATTCCTCACAGCTACTCACCTGTGCTGTTGCTCGGTGAGTAGCTGCTCCTCAAATGAGGAAATCTAATGTAAATGTATTGTGCAGGCACGCAGTTCAGAGAGGGCTCAAGAGCTACTCTTAGAGCCCCTGAGATCTACCGGTAGATCGCGATCTACTGGTTGGTGACCACGGCCCTAGTAGATGAGTAAGGCATAATTTTCCTTTACAGAAACCATATTGACTGTCCCCCAACAAATTATGTTGATCTGTGTGTCTGACAATTTTATTCTTTAGTATAGTTTCAACTAATTTGCCCGGTACTGACATAAGACTTACCAGTCCGTAATTGCCAGGATCAACCTCTAGTCCTTTTTAAATATTAGTGTCATGTTAGCTATCTTCCAGTCATTAGGCACAAAAGCTGATTTAAAGGATAAGTTACAAACCACAGTTAATACTTCCGCAACTTCACATCTGAGTTCTTTCAGAACTCTTGGGTGAATGCCATCTGGTCCCAGTGACTTGTGACTGTTAAGTTTATCAATTTGTTCCAAAACCTCCTCTAATGACACATCAATCTGGATCAATTCCTCAGATTTGTCACCTAAAAAGAATGGCTTGGCTTTGGGAATCTAACATCTTCAGCCATGAAGACTTGAAGCAAAGGATTCATTTAGTTTCTCTGCAATGACTTTCGTCTTTTGAGTGCTCCTTTACAATCTCGATCATCTAAGGATCCCACTGGCCTTTTAGCAGGCTTCCTGCTTCTGATGTACTTAAACATTTTGGCTATATCTACACTGGCATGATCTTGCGCAAGAACTCTTTTGCGGAAGAGTTCTTGTGCAAAAACTCTTCCAGAAGAGAGCGTTTACATTAGCATGTGCGTTTGCGCAAGAGATGTGCTTTTGTGCAAGAGCATCTATGCCAATGTAGACGCTCTCTTGCGCAAGAAAGCTCTGATGGCCATTTTAATCATAGGGCTTTCTTGCGGAAGAAATTCATGTTGCCTATCTATACTGGCCTCTTGCGCAAGATCAGTTGTGCAAGAGGGCTTATTCCTGAGCGGGAGCATCAGAGTTCTTGTGCAAGAAGCCTTGATTTCACACATTAGAACGTCAGTATACCTGCGCAAGAACTCATGGCCAGTGTAGACAGGCAGCAAGTTTTTGGCAAAAGCAGTTGCTTTTGCGCAAGATCGCACCAATGTAGACATAGCCTTTGCTATTACTTTTTAATTTTTGACTAGCTTTTCTTCAAACTCCTTTTGGGCTTTTCTTATTATATTTTGATACCTAATTTGACAGAGTTTATGCTCCTTTCTATTCTCCTCACTAGGATTTAACTTCTTTTTATCTCACTGCTTCTTTTACTTGGTTGTTAAGCCATGGTGGCACTTCTTTGGTTCTCTCGCGCTCTCTTTTTTTAAAAAAAATTGGGGTATACATTTAAGTTGGGCCTCTATTATGGTGTCTTTAAACATTGGTTTTACAAGAGGAAAAATTAAAGCTCTCTCAACACTAGTTCTATCCAGGTTTATGATACTCACTTTAGTATCCATGTGCTGTTTCTTGTTGTGTAAGTCCACCCATGGCAACAGATAGCTGTTTAAATGTAAGATTTATGAATGATCTTAAATCAGAAGCCACTGATTTTTGGGGGAGGGTAATAAAAAAACCATCCACCTCTCTGTGCACCCTCGTATCTTGCCCTGATGCAGCTATCTCTTTTCCTTCTCCAGAGCATCTTTTACTTCTCTTTATTTCCCGCCCCCTTTTCACTCAAAAGCTCACCAATGTTCAAACTGGATGCCCATTAGTGAGTGCATATGCTCTCAGAGCTTAACTTGAGTATTGTACAGCAACAAAGAAAGCCTTGTCCAGTAGGCATTGGTGCCTTTGCCTCCCAGCCTCGATACACCAACTGCTACCATGGCCAGCTGTACAAAGAGTTAATTTAGGATGGTGGAAGTGGATGACTTTCCAAGTGTCACCCAAAACCATGAAAACAAACCTGGGGTCATATAAAGTTTTCTTGTTTTATTCCTCACCTTGCCCCATCTAACTGCCCCTTTTGTAGAAAACCTGATATGTAATGCTCTTGGAAAGCTTACTGAGGGCAGTGGATGCTCTCAGCTTACTCAGTTAATATGGCTACCCCTCATCATTGGATGAATTCACAATTTCAGATTCAGTCTGGATAATGGAACTCCATTTGGCAACATTATTGTGGAATAACTGACTTTTTAAAGGTTTTCTGTAAAGCTATCCTTTCCTCTCTCATGTAATGCAGAATACAATCACTTATGCTTTCTGTAGTCCCCTTTAGGGATGTAAAAAATCATTTAAAAATGTAACTATGTAACTGCTACAAATCCTAGCAGTTACACATGGGCTGTGTCTACACTGGCGCGATCTTGCGCAAAAGAGACTGCTCTTGCGCAAAAGCACATGCCAGTGTAGACGCTCTCTTCTGGAAGAGTTTTTGCACAAGAACTCTCCCGCAAAAGAGTTCTTGCGCAAGAAGCTACCAATGTAGACATAGCCATGTTGTGGGCTCTGCCATATAAAGCTTTATATGGCAGAGCCCACAACATGGCTATGTCTACATTGGTAGCTTCTTGCGCAAGAGCTCTTTTGCGGAAGAGTTCTCGTGCAAAAACTCTTCCAGAAGAGAGCGTCTACACTGGCATGTGCTTTTGCGCAAGAGCATCCATGCCAGTGTAGACGCTCTCTTCTGGAAGAGTTTTTGCACAAGAACTCTCCCGCAAAAGAGTTCTTGCGCAAGAAGCTACCAATGTAGACATAGCCATGTTGTGGGCTCTGCCATATAAAGCTTTATATATAAGCATTATACTGCGGAGTCTACAGTGAAGCTGGCTCCCCAGAAGCAAAGCTGTCAGTCAGACGCTGGGTTCGTTGTGGGTTCTGAAGTACAACTTTATTGTGCAGAGCCCACAGCACAGAGTGACAGCTGTCTCCTTGGGAGCAGTGCCAGCAGGAGCTGCTAGCCCCTCTCCTGGGGAGCCTACTTCAACTGCATGCTCTACAAGTAATTCAATCCTAAAAGGTTTGCCTTGAAATGTATTTAAAAGCTGCAAGAGTTGAAGAATGTAGCTCTGTGATTGTCTCCCTTATATACCAAGGAACAATCACCAATTCCTTTCCTCCATAATCTACACTTGTTGCCACTATGAAAATGGATTGAATTCATCTGATTGTTCTTTATAGGGATGTCAAACCCCGTTTAAATCAGTTGACCAGTTAAACAGTGTGTAACCAGTTAACCAAGCTGGAACATCCCTGCCTGTATGTAGCATTCTGCTTGGGCAGGCCGGGCCCTCCATGAACAAGGGCTGCTCTGGCAGGACTGAAGCGTCTATGCTCATGGTGCATTGTGTGGGCTGTGGCTGCTCTGGTAGTGCCCCACCCCACAGCACTATGCTCCAGTCAGGCCGGGCCTGCTGAGAGCAGGTTTGGAATCATTTTTCCGGAGCCCTACATGCATCAATGCCAGTAATTAGGTCAACCTACCTACAGACCTCAGGGCATGTAAGTTTTCCACAGTCCTGAGCATCAGTAGTTATGTCAATTTGATTTTTAAGTGGATGAGGCCTTAGTCCCCCCTTATGATTCAGTATAGATGATTGCATTGTGTGTCCCTTTCTGAATTTGACCCAGTTTTTCGGATTCGTGGGTCCACTTTGTTGTAGAGGAACACGGGGAGGTCAAATCTGGACCGAAAGACGAATCTGATTCCACTGGAAACGTTTTAAAGCCACTAAACATCCCCGTCTGGGTTTGCACTCGTCGCTGCAGCCTTCTCCTGGCGCGTGCGAGCCTGCCCCGGGAGCTAAGGAGAAAAAAGAGAGGACCCTCCCCAATGCACCTTCAGCGTCCAGGCTGACAGGGAGGGACAAGCCCCCGGCTCAAGAAGCTGGTGAGATCCTCCCTGCGGCGCTGGCGAGGCAGGTGATTTATGGAGACCGCGGCCTTTCCCCTCGGCGTCTCTCTGGAGCTCTGGCCGCAGCCGGGCACCGGCCCCAACGTTGAACCCCCTGTGGAGAGGCTGCGCTGCCAGGCCCTAGCGGAGCTCGGCTCCGGCTCGGTCCCCTCCCCCCCAACCGGCTCAAGAAGCTGGTGAGATCCTCCCTGCGGCGCTGGCGAGGCAGGTGATTTATGGAGACCGCGGCCTTTCCCCTCGGCGTCTCTCTGGAGCTCTGGCCGCAGCCGGGCACCGGCCCCAACGTTGAACCCCCTGTGGAGAGGCTGCGCTGCCAGGCCCTAGCGGAGCTCGGCTCCGGCTCGGTCCCCTCCCCCCCAAGAGTTCGGGCCGGTTCCCTTCGGTCGGCTCCGGGCCCCTCCCCCCTGAG